GCTGATTTTTTGATTTATTGTAGAGATGAGGTCTCGCTGCCCAGGTGGGTCTCGAACCCTCGGGCTCAGGCAATCCACTCACCTCAGCCTCCCAAAGGTGCGGGATTACAGGCTGAGACACCGAGCCTGGCTCTTTTCACCCTACAGAAGTGAAACTCCATACCAGTAACTCACTCGCGACTCCCCACAACCCTGACAATTACCATCCTCTAGCTACCCCATGGAAGTGGAAGCTTTTGTCTTTTTGTGACTGGTTGATTTAACATAGCAGCCAGTGACAGAATTTCCTTCCTTGTCAAAGTTGAATAACATCTGATTACACATATACGCCACATTTTGTTTGTGCATTCATCGAGATCAGACACTTGGGTTGCTTCCACCTCCTGGCTACGTGGCAAATGCTGCTTTGGACATGAGGGTTTAATAACTCTTGGAGACTCTGCTCTCCATTTGTCTGGGCATACAAGGGGGACCTCCCCCCAAAAAACAGAATTTATTTATTTTTAATTGTGTATTGATTCTTACATGTTTAAACTTCAGTCACCTTCAAAGTACTCTCTGCTTGATACAACACACGTATTGAGATGCTTTTTCTGCTGCTCAAAACAGTTTTTGAACTGGTCAATTTAGATGACTTTTAGTGCTTCTCCTGTTTTTTGTTTCACCTCTTCCACATGGGCAAAATATTTCCCTCGGAGGAAATTTTTCATCCAGAGAAACGGAAAGTCACTCCAGACAACTTTGGGTGACTAGGGAGGGTGGGACAAGAGGACATGCCATTTTTGGTCAAAAACTGCTGAACACTCAGCGCAGTGTGGGTAGGTGTGCTCGTAAATCACCCATCATGAAATGGGGAAACACGCTGAAAGAATCACCAAAAACCCTAAAAAATATCAAAATTGATGAGTTCAAAAACTATTTTGAGTAGTGAAAAAAGCATCTTGATAGGTGTACTGCATCAAACAGATAGTACTTTGAAGGTAACTGAAGTTAAAACACACATATAAATACACAACTTTGGGCGCAGTGGCTCAAACCTGTAATCCCAGAACTTTGGGAGGCCAGGATAAGAGGATTGCCGGATGAGAGAAACAGGTTTGACAATATTCGGAGTTTCTTAATGGGCTGGTTTGAGACCAGTCCGGGCAACATGGTAAGACCTCGTCTCTACAATAAATCAAAAATTAGCTGGATGTGGTAGCGCGCACCTATTGTTCTGGCTACTTGGAAGGCTAAGGCAGAAGGATCATCTAAGCCCAGCAGGTCGAGGCTGGGGTGGCAGTGAACGTGCCACTGCACTCCAGTCTGGGAAACGGAGTAACACTCCAACACACACACAAAAAAGGAAAGTCAAATAGATTTTCCACTTGGCCAGCATCTACCTAACAAGCCTGAGACAGGCCTGCTATGCTACTGGCCCCTTATCTGTCAGTGGGAGGCTCTCCCCCACATCTAAAAAGGGACTAGCCACCAGCTAACTTGCCACTATAACCTGGCCCTATCTCAGACACCAGGATGGGACCATAACAACCTGACCTTTTAAAAGTTCAAAACCTAGGCAGGATGCAGTGGCTCACGCCTGTCATCCCAGCAATTTGGGAGACTGAGGTGGGAGGGTCGCTTAAGTCCAGGAGTTCAAGACTTGACTGAACAACATAGGAAGACCTCTTCTATACAAAAAAATTCAAAAAATTAGCTGGATGTGTTGGAGCACTCCTATAGTCCCCGCTACTCAGAGGCTGAGGTGGGAGGATCGCCTGAGCCCAGGAGGTTGAGGCTGCAGTAAAGCACAATCATGCCACTGTACTCCAGCCTAGTGGCAGAGTGGCATCTTGACTCAAAAAAAAAAGCTCAAAACATAAGCTGTCGGTCTGTCTCAGCTACCCTTTTATGTTTTGACTCAGGGAACTAAAAGAGGCCAGAGAAGCTCCTGAATATAACCATGCAGACCTTCACAATGAGTGGATCAAAGGGAGTCTTTGTGTTTATTTTTGTCAAGACCGAGGTCCAGTGATGACCCAAAGGTGAGAGGCTCCCGGCCTCTCTCTGTCAGCTCTCCGGAGCTGCTACACACAGCACAGGCCCCCAGCTCTTCAATGCCAGCAGGCAACACTGCCCTTGAGGGGTCAGCCATGTCAGTAGCTCACAGATACTCAAAGGCTAGGATTCAAAGCCGCAGAATCACTCAAAAATGGAAGTGTATGTCACAGCAGCAGGTTATAGCCTAACTCATTTTACTACTTTTGCAATTAAAGAGTTTGTTTTTTTTTTTTTAAAGAATCACATCCTTTCCTGGATGCTATGCACTTAAGGCCTGAACCATAGGGGCTCATAAAAAGCTTTCAATGGGTCAGACATGGTGGGTCACACTTGTAATCCCAGCATTTTAGAGGCCAAGGAGGGAGGATTGCTTGAGCCCAGGAGTTCAAGACCAACCTGGGCAATGTAGCAAGACCTTATCTTTACAAAAAATAAAATCAGCCAGGAGTGGTGGCATGCATCTGTAGCCCCAACTACTCAGAAGGCTGAGGCAGAAGGATTGCCAGAAGGTTGAGGCTGCAGTGAACCGTGATCATGACAATGCGTTCCAGCCTGGGCAAAAGAGTGAGAACCTGATTTAAAAAACAAAACAAAACAAAGCTGGGCACAATAGCACACACCTGTTATCCCAGCATTTTGGGAGACTGAGGTAAGAGGATTACCTGAGCCCAGGGTTTCAAGACCAGCCTGGGCAACTTGGTGACACCTCATTTCTACAATCAAAATTTAGCTGGGAGTAGTGGCATGTGCCTGTGGTTCCAGCTACTTGGAAGGCTGAGATGGAAGGATTGCCTGAGCCCAGCAGGTCGAGGCTGTGGTGACCAGGAACATGCCACTGCCCTATAACCAGCGCGACAGAGTAAGACTCCAACTCCCCTCCCCCCCAAAAAAACCTGCTGCGTTGAATGAAAGCAACTTTACATGCTGAAAGGTGGATCTGGACCCAGACCAAGGGCAGGAATCCTCCCTCCTAGGTATGGCTAAAAGTCTGACCCTCAACCCCTGGGGGCATGTTTCCATAATTAAGACAGAGAAGAGTGAACAGGAAGCCACAGAAGTGGACAACATATGCAACTTTACATATGCAAAATGTTGACCAGCTGTTCAACACATCTGGTCAATGCTGGCACAAAAAAAAAACCAGTTTTAAACTGTAGCAGGAAAAATTT